CAAGGTGTGGACAGTGACCACATGAGCAGCCACATCACATTAGAGTCACGAAGAGAAAAGGATTCAGCAGAGATTTATTCGTTTTGTCTTCGGTGACCTACATCTGACAGTTTGTCCCACTGACCAGATACAACCACCAGTCCGGTTATATGTGGATTTTGCTCATGTAAATGTGGATAATTTACCCAGTTTGAAGCGCAAACTGGAGGATTTTTCAGGCTGAAACATGTATAGACATTTGGTTTGCTCAGTTAAACCAAATGATTATTAAATTAATTCATTAAAAATACAACTTTAATTGTTGCATGACAAGATTTGTTGATCTAATTACAAGAATTATGCTTTATAAACCAGTGTTTATAGCGAATTATTCCCAAATGGACATGAAACGCCATATTATTATGTCAATTAGATTTTGTGCCTCTCTGGCCATATTGATGAAGGAATATTGGATATTATTTAGACAAGGCAAGAGGTTCAACAGTCATATTTAGTTTATAAATAAATGATATTTAATTGTTTTATATGTCTGTATAGATGCATGCTACTGTATAACAATTTAAAACTTCTGCTGTCCGATGCTTCACTGCTTTATCAGATCAATGTTAAGTGCATTGCAAGAGTTGTGATCGTTTCTGTACACCTGCCTCAACAGTTCCTACATTTCCCAAAGTGCATTTCACCAATCACCTGCCAGCATGTACTGTGAACTTGTTGATGCTGTTTTTAAAGAAGCTCATATGGATGATGAGAGAGCAACTGGTTAAAACACAAAGCAACTGTTCAAAGCAACAAATTCTGATGTGTTGGGATGAATTTTGGTGGAATTATTAAATCCTTTGTGTTGATTGTAACATAAATGGTGGCTCTGACAGCTAAACAAATGTGTGGTCTTGTTTGTCTCAGAGAAAAAGAAAGAAAATTGGGTTAACTCTAATCAGTTGTGCACAAAAAGTACATCAGCTGTTCAACTGGTGACAAAGTCTTGAGCGCTGAGTTAAACTACAGCCTGTTGTGTTGCTTTAGAGGACAATGATCAGAAAGTGTGACCAAGTCAACCCTGAAGAGTCGTAGTATTCAAATGACACGATGCCACAGATGACAAGATAAAGATGCAAAAGGCTGTTGGGTGCTACATGTCAGCTACAGCCTCAGTCAGTCTCCTGAACATCCACAATTCTAGTCATCGGAGAAAGTCCTTCAGGAAGAGCAGCATCAACAAACTCAGTAACTCTGAGTACGTTTGACTCATTATTGACGTGTGATTTCCTGTTTACGACCTCACAGTCTGTCTG